AAATCACCACACTCAGCCTTAAAACAACTTCATCTAAAAGGAGGTAACTATAATATAGCTTCCCTGCCGAATGAATGGAATAAATTTCCAACATCTTCAAGACAGAATTTGGCTGCTTGTGAACTTTGTCATTAACGTTTTGGACATTATACGACTTTTTGGTGTCTTTGGAACCAGTTGTCCTCGAATCTAGTGCACTTTTTTCACATCCCAGTTTGCAGTCCAAATTGTTCGTGTCGCCTCTCAAATCACTCTCCACACTTCCAGAGGAAAAAGTTATCAATCATGGCTTCTTCATCTCATCCGGAGGCCTGCGGATTCATAGGATAATGGCGTAATACAAGTCGCCCGTCTTGAATCGCGGACCAAGGAGTCCATAATCTATGCGGTTGTTTGAGTTTTCAAAACCCAAACGCGCAATGAAGCAAATGAACCGACCTCACTCAAAAGGGGTGCAGCTCCGACCACATCGAAGCCTGGGCTCTGATGTGAATAATAATGACTGTTGGGACCCGAAAGATGGTGAAATATACCTGGATCCTCCGGTTTATGTATTGGGTCTGCCTTCAGACGTTGGTTTGATTAGAGTGCTTCACTGAGATTCAGATCTTTCAACTTTTCCAGATCGTGGTGCAGAAGACTTTCTGGTGTAATATCACATAGACCAAACAGATACGGCTCGTAGAAAGATCAGCTGTTGCTCGAACATCTTCTTGCTATTGTACTGCTGGGTCAATCAATTTGGCCTGGTACTATTAGCTCTTCACTGAACTTCGCAAAGCCTTAAGGCCATATATGCATAGCCTTCAAACAGTCCAAGCGGACGTGGTTTAAGTTTGCTGTCCTGGCGAATGCTGGAGCATGTTTGAATGCCCCATTTCGGCGCCCAATTCTGTGAGGCTTTGGCTTATGCAATAAGAAAGCTAACAAAAGCTAGACAGCATACTTATTACCGTTTTTCAACGTCGATAAGTTATTCGGCTGAGGCTGGAATATTCGAGGAAACCTGGAAATCTGTCGTCGCGCTCGTTTCGGTATCTGAACCATTCAGATGACATCGTGCCACCGTGGCTGCTCCGAATGTGATGTTGTGCCCAAGATATATCTGATATTGCAATAGTCTATTGACTCAGGTTGTGAACCCGAGCTTGAAAAAAAGAGACAACAGGCTTAATATCTACCCATTTAACGTCAAGAGAGTTCGGATCTCGAAAAGCGGCTCCTCATCTTTTGAATCTTTGAGCATCCTTGATTAGAAATGCGATGATTCATACCATGTGACTACTGCCCACCCGGACAAGTCCGAGACCCAATAGATTTCCCATTATTGAGCATAATCATAAACGCATTTTTCCGTGGCAATGCCTCTTTCACCAATACCTTTTCTACAACTTTTAATGATTTATTTGTGTTTGGGGCTATTTATTTGTTTCTTCGGCTCTTTATTTGTTTCCTGGATTATTTATTAGTTCCTTCAACAATTCATTTGTTTGTCCCTCTATGTGTTTATCTTACCTTATGTTTCGCTGGGAGGTTCTTTTTTGTATCTTGAGTGTATTCGCCTGTCCTCGCTATTTATTCATCTAATTATCCATGTATCTAATTATCTAATTATCTAATTATCTATTTATCTATTTATCTATTGACCTTTTTACTTGTTTATCTATTTTATCAATTTCATCAACTAGTTTGATTATTTATTTATTGATCTGTATTATTTATTTGCTTGTTCATCTATGTGTTTTTCCTGGGAGATTCTGTTCTGTATCTTGCGTTTATTTATCTGTCCTTTTATCGATGTATCTATTTTTTTGTTATTTATTATAGGGTGTCCCTCTGAGGATGTAAGACCCCACCACTAACGAAAAACTATAAAGAAACCTATAATAGATCGGCTCTGGTGAGAAGGCGCAAATCTTCCAAAGAGAATGTGACCCTCAAAAAGACTTCTGCCCAGAAACAATGTCAGCCACTAAAAGAATTGACCAAATGTCATCTTCCCATAAGAAATGTTTTCCTGAGGGCTTGTGACAAGGCGGCAAGACGTACTTTTGTCTTTGCCTGCTGTTCCCTTAGCGACGAAACCCTGTGAACGACTTAAACAGACCAATGAAGGTTTCTTAGATTGTCAAGGGAAATATTTGAAGGAGTTCGCGTCTCCCATACGTGCATTGGAGCCTGAAAGCCGATCTTCTGCCACCAAAAGTGCAAATCTCACACTCATTGCAGAGATGGTTTAACTTCTGATCTCTATAACAGCTTTTCGAACACAGCCTGCACTCGAATCTTGACGCCCCAAATTTCTTGTCATGAAAGGGCACATAGGAGCCGTGATTGATTAGATAAATGGATGTGAGATCTTTTTGCACCAACCATATCAACGGTAAATTCTTGGTAGAGCGTGTCATCTTTATGCAAGAACAATGCTAATTTTCTCTGTATTGTTTAAATTGACAGATGTACCCTCGCGAACGATAGTACTCTATTCACCTATTAATCTATTAGATATATTTTATTAATTCATTTACTTATGGATTCGTTTAATAATTCAATCATTTATCAATTTATCTGTTTATGTTTGGTGTTGCTGGGATCTTTTCTGCGTGTATTCATCTGTCCTTGTTTGTCTGGTCTCGTCTCTCTTGGGCCTCACTCGTCTTGCCTTCGTGCCGTTCGTTTGACCGCTAGCTTTTTTTCCTGCTTCATTGGCTTTTCTGCGCAACTGCTTGCCTGCCACAAGGTCCCTTTTCTTTCCATCACCCTTATTTTCCTTTTCTTTCATGACCCCCTTGCATCTTCGGCGATTCCTCTGCTTCGTCTTTGGCCTCTGGGGTAGGCCCTGTCTCGCCCCTATTGCCTTGACCAGATTCTTCCATCGATTAGTCCTGCACCGGTGTCTGATCATGCCGTCACTAGATGTATACTGCAGTACCTCTACTGGTAGTTTGCCGCACGCCTTGGGCAAGCCACGGCGTATTCTACCCGTCCAAATGCTCAGCTCCCGTATGGTCAAAGTCACTTTTCCTTTGTCCATCCGCCCAGCTGAAACCCCACAGATTTCAACACTGTCCTGATCCCGGCTATATATATGCACACCCGCTCGAGCCATTATTTGGTGGGCCAAAGCTGAGTTATTAACTTGTTTGTTTCAACTTTAAATAGAGATATTTCTTAAATCTAGGCCAACATCAATCTGGCTGACGCAATGTGTCTTCAGAAAAAATGGTACTTCCTTTCTCAAAGCTCAACACCCATTCTAGGAGTTTCGGCTCCATCTGATTCTCAAACTAAGCATACAGCTAATACTTTGAACATAATACTTTTTTTTTTTCGCATCTAGTAATATTTCTTCGCATATCTCATATTTATCTGAGAACAGATTTCTGGTAACTAGGATATCACTTGCTTGTTTTTCATTCCAATGATTATGAGATTTAATGTTACCACCTATATTTTCATGTACCTCGTTGCGAGCCAAAACATCCATGTTTTTTACTAATCAATGTCTAGAGTCGGACTGGCAAATAATCGAATTGTGCCAGCACTTGGCACGTATTTGGGACCTACTTGAAGGCTTATATGCATATATTTATGTATAGTTTTGCTCCCTCCATTAGATGTATCTACCAGTAAGTGTGGATACTTTCTACCCAGCAGATCAGTGCCATTGTTCGTAACTGGCCAACGCGCAACCACAATACAAACGAAGAAAGTCAGTTTTGGGCCAAAGTCTCAATATGTGGTGTCATGAGCATAAGTCACAGAAAAGGCTGAGCATGGAGCTCAAAAGGATAGTTATAATAATGGTGACATAAATGTCCAAGAATTATCAGACGGGGCGCGTTACGTCAGTCCAACACATAGCTGGTGAGTCTAATTAATCTTGCTACTGGGGTCTGCCAGTGGTGTTGCTATTGGGTCTGATGTTGGTTCTGACAATAGGGTCTACTTAAGGGTCCGACATTACTGAGATTGGGTCTGCTGTTGGGGCCTGATATAAGTGTCTGGTATTTGGTCTAAAATTGGGTCTGATGATAGCGTGATATGGAGAAAGCTCGCTAGGGCTGTCAGAGGAAGCTTGAGTTCTCAGTATGGCCCAACCGTTTAAAAGAATTCCGCTTTAGGTATCCTGAATTGGCAGCAGATGATGCAGAGAGATTTCCTGGACCCCATGGCCTCAATCACAGAGCTCTACTTCAGCGGCCAGGTACACTCGAAGTGCACTGTGCACTAATTATCAGGAATCCTGGAGACAGCATATTCAACCTTTTAAGCGCCGGGCTATTATATGGAAGGAGATTAGATCTGCTCCGTGCCATGGCCCGCGTCCTATAAAAAGGGTCTCCATGAGTTACGTATTTCCTAATTTCTGAGGAATGAGTTGGTTCTGGTTCTGCAAAAAGCAGACACTGGGAATTCTAAATATCCAAATTTCAGTAAATAGTATTGCTTCTGGTCCCGAGAAATGTATTGATTCCTTGAATTGTACCGATTCAGACTCGGTGAAATGTATTGGTTCCAATTCTGTAAATTGTATTTATTCTGCCCATGTAAATTGTGCTGATTCCTCTCTTCATTCATTCTTTATAGTCATTCTGATTCCATGAAATGTATGTATCCGAATGTCTGCAAACTACACAAACAGTTGATATTCGCACCCGCAACACCAGATCTGAAATTGTTACACTAATTGCCTTGTGAGAGAAGATACAATACCGAGGATACTAACAGCACAGAATGAACCAAAGCTCATTCATCCAAAGAGATGATTCCCATATGGAAGATCCTGGCAGTGGGTGGCCGCACCTGCACTTGGTCCTGCCATGTCTCGTGACAAATTGCATGACTCAAGCACTTGAGGTTTCAAAATCCAGGCACAGTCCGTTTTACTGGCTTCGCTCTATCTTCTTATCTGATATCGTATCAGCTGTTCTCATATCAGCTGTTCTCATATCAGCCCATCTCCTATTATCTGACATCTTCTTATCCTCTGTCTTATGACCTAACATCTTATTATGCGATCATTGCATGCGATATTTTCATGCGACATCTTATTATCTGACATTTTATTATCTAACGCCTTATTACCAGACATCTTATTATCAGACATCTTATCATCGGACATCTTATCATCGGACATCTTATCATCCGATCTCAAATCATCGAAAACTTCATCATCCGATCCCTCATCACCTGGCCCCAGGCACAAGGCTTGCCCCGGCATACCTGCTAAGTTAGCGCGCCATTCCAGGGCCGCGCCCCGTGCCGACCCAGTGCCCGAAATGCCTGAGGGCCAATAGACAGCTGGGAATGCAAGCAAAAACGCCAGGCACTTCAAAAAACTCTTCTTCCCGAAGACAGTTTCAATCCAATCTGCCCACTTTATCCTACCAATGATTGTTGTTTGCTATTGCGGACTCGCTTCTTCTTTTCTTCCCTCTTATTCGCTTCTTCCCATTCTCCTGGCACTAGGCCCTAGTGGAGCTGTGCGCGCCCATCGGACTTGGGCCTGCTCATTGAGGCTTCGGCTCCATTACAACGGTCAGTGTAGACTCTATTAAGGGCCAGCAAGCGCAACGCTCTGGATCTGTCATCTTCAAACTCCTGCTCCCCTCGTTTCCCCGCCCTCTTCTCGACCAATTCCAGGCCGCTGGCTCCTGAATTCTCTGCGCAAAATATAAAGACCCATGCTGCTCGAGACCTTGATCTCCCAGAGCCAGCTTCCATACGAGGAAAGCTTGCTTGAAAACAGCGACAACGAGACTCTCTGGCTCGAGTACTTCGAGGCTTACCGGGCCGATTTCAATAAGGCCGTGTTTATTCTAGACCGGGCCGTGTGCGAGTTGCCTCACTCTACTTTACTATGGAACGCATATCTCCAATTGCCCTGGAGCCCCGAAGCCACGGGTACCCTTTTGGGTTTATACGAGCGGGTGTTGCAGATGATGCCCTCGACGCCCGCGTTTTGGCTCAGGTACATCGATCTTCTTTCGGGCCCCAACGCCGACGCCGGCCGGCTTCGAAAAGCTTTGGACATGGCGCTCTTCAACTTGGACCGCTCGCATCACCCGCACATCTGGCAGAAATACTTGCGTTTGGCCGAACAGATGTCCGGCCCGCCGGCGGCCTCCATCTACGCGCGGTACTTCGAAATCTCGCGTGGCGAGGCTGGCGGGCTGGCCCTCATCCTGAGCGAACAGTGTGTTTTGAAGGTGGCCGAGCACGCTGGCTTCCGGCGGGCGGCTGCTCTACTTCGAGATTTGGAAAGGACGAAGCCGGCGGGCCTGCGCCTGCACGCCGACTTTGTGCTTGAGTTTCTCTGCATCGTGCTGCAAAACACCCAGTTCCGCAATGACGCTTTTGTCGAGCAAACAGCGCAGACTGCCGCCGCGGATTTCCCGCCGTTCGCCAAACGATTCATGCTTGTGCTTGCAAGCTACTTTTCGGCACGCGGGCTGTGGGAACAAGCCCGGCACTTCCATGCGCTAGCCTTCGAAACGGCAAAAACGCCCGCCGACGTCGTGGACGTCTTTGATACGGTGACAAACTGGGAAGAAAACCAGATGGAACGGCTATTCCGGGCTGGCGACGCCGAGGCCCTCCGGCTCTGCATGAGGAGCTTCTCGCGGGTCTTGGCGAAACAGCCCGTGCTCGTAAATGACGTTCTCATCAAGGCGCACCCTCATAACATCGACCACTGGCTCGAGCGAGCTAGCATCTTCCAGGAAAAGGCCGACCAGAGGGAAGTCATCAACACATACGTCACGGCCATCCGGCGTGTGAACCCGCTCCAGGCAAGCTCGAGAAACGGGCACACCATGGCTCAAATATGGACCCAGTACGCGGATATCTACATCTCCCAAAACGACCTCTCGACGGCCAACGTGGTGTTTTCACATGCCGTGAAATCGCAGTTCCGGACCGTGACGGAGCTCGCAGATTTGTATATTGCATGGACAGAAATGATCTTCACGGTGTCCGACGACGAAGCATTGAAACACATTGAGCTGGTGCTTTTCGACCCACAGGACGAAACCACACCGGACCAGCACAAGCAGAAGGTCGGAAACACTGTGCATGACCAAATTGCTCACAGCGGACACCTTTGGGCATTCTACATCGATGTGCTCAAGTCGATGATCGAGGAAGGCGAGGACAATCTGGCCGTCCTTTCGAAATTGGACCAGGCGTATAGCCGTCTTTTCAAGCTCCAGATCATCAGCCTTCGCCTGCTTCTAGAATACGCAGACTTCACAGCAACACACGAAAACATGGAAAAGAGCTATGCAATCTACGAGGCAGGAATCCACAACTTCAGGTCCCCGCAGGCGCAATTCCATATCTGGGCCGTCTATCTCGACAAAATTGCAGTGCATGTGGAGGATAGCAATGCGATCCGAGACCTCTTTGATCGGTGTGTTTCGTCCGAGATCCCCGGGTTCCATGCATACGAGATCTTTGAAAAGTACATTACTTTTGAGCAGAAACAAGGTAATTTAGTCCGCTCGGTCGCCATCATGCGTGATGCCATAAACTACCTCACTCGCTCGTTTTCCTTTCCTCGCTACACCAAAGACAACCGCAACAAAATTGCAGATGACAAGTTCACATTATACAAAAAGGCATCGCATGCGGTTCGTTTCAATTTGCACGATAGCCAGTTATATCGGGAGATCATGACGCAAGCTCTACAAGATTCGCAATTAACACTACCGTATGGGATAGAACTAGGCCTAGAATTTGTGGAGTTCGAGAAATCCGAAAACGAACTTGAAAGGGTAAGAACTCTTTTCAAATATTTGGCTGGCCTCGGTCATCCTGATGGCCACGTGACGAAGATTGTATGGACGAAATGGGAAGAATGGGAGATGCAAAGCGGCACAGAGACCTCATATAAGGGTTTGCTAGAGACACGGAGACAATTGAAGAACGAGTATAGGGATGTGTCTGAGGCCAAGGCAGACATCAATCCCATGGGGTTTGTCATTGCAGAAACAAAAAATGCTTCCGAGAAGACAGAACCAGTTGTCACTGCAAACCCAAATGCTATTGAATTAGATATGGATATGTAAGATGTATCATTAAAGTGCCAATTGCTTGGCTTGAGTTTCGTCGTGGGCTCATAACTTCTTAAAAATGTCCTTCCACTTAGTAAGGAAAGACTCTAGGTTCATCAACTGGTCGCTTGAATTATTGAGTTTGATGGACTTGTTGTCCTTCACGAGCTCTCCACAACTGTTCCAGTTGACGTGGTAATATTGAAAGACGGTAAGCAAGAAGCTTTGGAATAAGTTCACAACTTTTTGTTTCTTATTCTTAGAGCGTGAAAATATCACTAGCAATTGAAGGAAGATGCCTACCAAGCTCAACGAAGAAGAAGAGTAGACAGACTCGGAGTCCCAGTCGGACGAATTCTCCAAAGAATTAACCGAGCGGTTTTTCGAACGCTCCTCAGGTTCTGACGAGGCTTTCGCAAGCGATTCGAAGGGGCTTTGTGCAACAATTGGGGTAGATGGCGCGCTCAAACTCAAAGGAAGCCTGTCATTGAGCTGAATCATTAGCTCAAAAAGAGATGTCGTGCTGAGATGTTCGAACTCTTGCAAGCTACTGAACTTCTTCAATATCTTGTACACTGGGCTTGATTGCAGCATCTTGGAAAGGCCACTCCAACAGGAAAGTTTCCTGTTGAGAGAGGAGAAAATCTCCTCGCTGAAAACCTCATGGTCAAACAATTCTATGAGCTTCCAAATGTTCAGAAACGACTCAGTGCTTTGGAATAGTATCAAAAACGTGGGGATGACGAAGATGCAGTGATGCTTTCGGAGTCCGCCATCTGAAAAGGATTTCAAATACAACAAACGTTTATAATTGTCATGGAACTGACGTTGATCAAAGTCGGCACCTCTGGTTGTGGCCATGTCAACCATGTAGTTTTTGAAAAGAGGTCTTTGTAGGACTTCCTCTATGATATTATTGAATTCTGCTTCCTTGGTGGATTTCATTTGAGGCGAGAGACTGTTCACTTTTCGTTCCGCAGAAAAGAAACTTGTCTCCACGGAATCAGTGAAGCTTTTCTCCGAGTCAACCAAAAGGACTTTCATGTAATAGTCGAATCTGAACCTGCTTGAAACGAGAGTTTCCCAGTTTAACTTGCGTAATTTCTCACGTTCACTGTTTAATTTTCTTCCAAAGTCCTTCTCCTCGCTTGCCATCATCAATTTGAGCCAGCTTTGCTGGTTAGCCACAGCCAGTAACCCGAGATTCTTGCGCATGGTATTCACGGCCTTTGTGCTCGCTTCGAAATCAGTTATCACCCGATGCAACTCTCTATGGTGTTTACTCTTATCTGTCGGCTTCTTCGGAGGAAGATTAATAGGACGAGATTGATCCACCACTTCGAGTTTCTCTGGAGAGATCAAGCTTATATCTTCAACAGAGCCGTGGGTTTTCACAAAGTTTGGCAATTTGTCCACGAGTTGCTGGTCCCTTGACGCTCTTGCTATCGCCGAATACGACAAGGAACGCTGAGTATAGAACTCTGAAATGTTGTGGCAGATTGCACTGTCATTTTCGGTGCTGGCAAATGAGGTATGGGCACTTTCATCGGACTCCTCAATATTGTTATTCATGTTCAACGGGCGCAGCTCTGGAATCGCTGTTGGGATTCTGTCTAGGGTCAAATTGGACCGAGAAAGTTTCCCTGGAAGAGGACAAGGTTTCATGGACTCTGTGGGCTTGTATGGGTACTTGTTGTCGTCAGTGGTCACGATGTCGTTCCGTGAAAGAATCATGTCTGGCATGGACTCGGTGCGCTGTGTGCGATAAATTTCACCGTGGTTCTTGATCACGGGAACATTGAAGACCAAGTCCAAATCATTTGTGAGAAGCTCGTCATTGTCGTCGTTTTCCTCGTATAACTTCTTGCGGAGCTCTTTGCGCTCCTTGGTCTCCCTCGGGTTGTAATAGCGCGTTTTCGTGCGTGTCAACATGAAAGAAGAACTTGCTGAGCTTTGCCTTGCGAGTGGCGGAAGCTGTTGCTTGAAAGCGGCTTGCCTTTTGGTCTCAAGAACTGAAGATGTGGACGCCGCACGTAACTTGGGCGGCACGGGAGGCGGATTTTGCCGCGCCGGGATGCGAGGCTCAAGCGACAGCGGGCCCTCCTGCTTCTCGGTGGCGATGGTCGAGAGCGACAGGTCCAGTTGGTCGATGACTTGGCTATCGAGACTGGTGTCTTCGACTCCCGTGCTACTGGCTGGGACTTCGCGCTCGGGGATGGAGGACACTGGCTGTTTCGTGGACGGATCTGCCACAGAGACCGAGGAGCCGCCGGGCTTCGTGGTGGAGTATGTGGAGTAGTTTGTCATTGAGCTGAGCCGCGAGTCTGTCGCGTCGAAGGGGGTCAGTGCCACCAGCACATCGTCGTCCGAGCTCTTGCACACATCGGCCGAGGACACGGAGCAGTTGGACCCGGGGCGGCCTTGCAAAGGCCGCATGTTGCGCCGCGGTTCCAGCAGCAGCAGCGGCAGGGACAGTAGCAGAGACGCGGACTTGGCCCCCACGCCAGCCTGCGGCGCCAGGGCCACGCCCATGCGGTTGAGATAGTAGTCGCCGGGTCGTTTCTGGTTCAGCAGAGAATCGAGACACGTCAACAGGCCCACGCGGCGCGGCAAGAAGCGGTTTTTCGGGGCCGCCCGATGCGGGTCGGAGCCCAGGAGCGCTATGTCGTAGAGGTTTTCGCTGAGCGAGTGCGCGGAGGGATTTTTGTGATGCATTTTTTTAGGGGGCGGTTTGAGCGAGTGTGATGGTTGAGTTACGGGGGCCGTGGAAGGTCAAGTTTTGGTGGCGTGGTCAAGTAAAAATGGCGTGGTCAAGTTTTGATGAATGGTCAACTTTTGATGGCGTGGTCAAGTTTTGATAAATGATCAAGTTTTGATAAATGGTCAAGTTTTGATGGCGTGGTCAATAATTGATGAATGGTCAAGTAAAAATGGCGTGTTTTGATGGCGTGGATGATGGCAACAAGGCTAAGCGGAGGGGAGCCAAAAGAACAAGCGGCAGCGGCTAGCCAAGGGGATATCAGTAGGGCGCCGAAAGAAAAGGGCGGTTTAGCGCGGGCGGAGCAAAAACGAAACAAGCGGTGGTGGCAAGCGGCGCGGGTATCCTTTTTTTAGTGGGAAGCGAATGAAAAAGGAGGCCTTTTGTTCTGTTGTGGTTTTCGAGTTTCGTGGTGCTCTGCAAAAAGTGAGAGGGCCCAGAGCTGGTGGGGAGGCAAGGCACAGAACCAGGGACCCAGAAAAAAAATACCCATAAAAATAGAACGCAGGCGCGCCTCCTCGTATGTGTACGCGAGCGCGAGTGAGCAGCAAGCAGGATGTTCTGCCAGAATATATAGCAAGCCACGGGGGCGAGCAAAGCCGGGCCGTCAACGCGATCTTTGGGAGTAGCTTAAAAATAAGCAAGGGCCTGGTCCAAGCGTCACATGACCAGCGCCACGTGCTTGGCCAAGGGCGGCCCTTGTTGGCTTAGTGCCGGGGATGTTGTTTGCTTCAACAAGGCGGATCTAGCAATGGCGCGCGCCCTTTCAGAGCTTGACTGTCTCGCCTGCTCTGTTTGTTTTGTTGCTGCACGCCGGAGCAAGCTGGGTTTCTATGCATGCTCAGATCAGCGTTTACTGCAAGGCGCTCACCCAGGGCACCTGGATCCGCAAGGTGCCTGCACACAGGAGGGGCCCGCGACTTGTCCGGCGCGGCGCTGCCTGCAGTCCGGGTGGGTCTAGACTCGTTGGTGAACCACGGAGTTGCCCATCGGGCCGATTTCATAGAACATGCTGCAATGTAAATTAGTAGACAGCCTGACAGACCATGTCCATCCAGGCCTGTGTTCTATGTGAGTGTTTCTGGCGGGCATTCTAGGAAAGCTCGACGACATCAGAGCGCTCTGCCCCCTACGCCTTCCAGGCTGCTGATTTTCTTGTAAAGTTTATATTTAAGGGGCAATTAGAACAGACCCAAAGTTTCATGGCGGGGATATGTGCCCAGGCTCATGATCTAAGATCGATAGCAAAGTTCCTTATCACAAACATTCCCTGCTGGGTCCGCGATCGGAGGGGCTGGCGGCAAAGTCGACTTATGAGCATGGGTTCGAACCACAAGCCTAGGGTTGTCGGGCCCTGCTGCATTTTCCAGCGTCAATGTTTTATGTGTTTGCAAAAGCTAGCCTGAAAGTCACTGATTTCAGCTTGGAATACGGCGTATCTGCCCATACTGGTTCCAAACGACTTAGGCCGTATCCAGGCTCGGTTTGGTGACAGCGTCTGTTATGTGCAGTACTTGGCCAGCGCGCATAGAGGCCCTGGCAGTCTTATCAACCAGCCAGGACCCCAGAAGCCAATACCATCTGTCTCGTGATATCTATCCAGGCAACTTTGGCTTTTTTTCATGGGAAGCCTCACAGCAGAGTCATATTTTCAGGCGGCCCGTGCCGGCATACAGGCACGGCTCCTGCTTCGCTCTCCAAGATGCTGGATTTCGGCTCCAATGCCTACTGTATGCGCACACTAGACTATTGCGAGCACTGGTGAAAACATCAAAAGTCCGGAGCGGGTGAATCTTTTGCAGGCTTCTGGGTCCAAGAAAAATGAGGTTTCGTATCAGATTGTCTTCTGAATCTGGGGCTTTTTTCTTAGGAGAGGGCTTGTCCATCGTTGCAAAAATCCATATGCTGGCTATGTATGAGCCGTGAGCCTGTGATGGAATCATTGATTAATGCCCAAGATGGCTCTGAGTATGATCTGGTTCAATTAAGCGAGCCTGGTCCCACGTTTCGGAACTTGATCGTGTTGTTCTTTGGTCTTTTCTCGGCATGCAGCTGTAGTGATCCTATGTAGTGCAGACTCCTTTCTGCCTGGTCAAATCCACAATCTGTCATGAGTATATGGCGGGTTGTCTGAGCTTGCTGCTCCCTGACTCGTTGATATGAGCTGTACAATGATTGTAGAGCCGGGTCTTATGGGAGAGCATGTTTCGACATAACATGCATTTAAATTTTTATCTGCCTTCAGGTTCAGTATCTGGAAGCTCGTGGCTGTAAATAAAAGAGCCCTCTCGGTATCTTGAGGCCGAAAGCTGGGGCGACATAGTTGGCGGTACTCCTGGCCTGCAAATTCATTTTGTCCCAAACAGCGAAATGTTCCTGAGACACCACACACAAATCCATGTATTTGGTGGCTTGAAAGGTGAACGCATCGAAGAATCTTTCGTAACGTTGCGGTAAAGTCTGGTCTGGGTTCCGTAAAGAAACGGCCGTGGAAACAGGTAATTTCGTACAACACCCGGTTCTGTCTGGCACTGCCTCCTAAACGCATTCGTCTCTAGCACTGCCTTCTTCATGCAATGTAATGGTACACATTCGGCGAGTCGGCGTCTCTCCTCAAATACTCTTTCTCAATCAAGTCCTCGACTTGCTGCTTGATGTGCACCATTGGGGGAAGGAAGCGGTTCTGGAGCTGCTTGACGATTTCCTCGATCAACTCGTTGTGTTTGATTGTCTGGCGTGATTTCATGGTTCTCACCACGGCGGCATTGATGAGGTGTTTGCGGCCTTCGTCAATGGCGGCGCGCACTTCGTCCGCCTCCTCGGCCCTCGCGTCGGAGATCTTCGGCGCGTCGGACTTCACCGTGAGCACCTTCACCTTGGTCGAGGGCAGCTTGAACTTGCTGTTCAAGCGGAAAGTGTCGGTCGGGTTTATGTCTTTGGACATGGGAACCTTCACCAAGAGCCGCAGGCGCGGGGCCACGGCAATGGAGCGCAACTGGCGCTTGAGGTCGAACTCCGGGATGCGCGTGAGCTCGCGGATCTCGTCGTAGGTCAATTCCCTTTGCTCGTCAAAGGCCAGCACCGGGTCGCCCGCAGCGTCCGTGGACTGCGGCGCGAAAAGCATCATGATCACGCCACCGTAGGTCGACAAGTTGATGTCGTAGGTGCGGGAGGGGTACGAGATGCGGAGATCCATCTGGCCGAACTTCGGGTACCAGAACAAGGCCTTGTTGTCGTTCCGCTTGCCCGTGCGCCAGAACTCCTCGAACGTCCGCATGGTTTCGCGGAGCTGCGACGGCCAGATGATGCCCGTGTCGGCGTCGGCCGGGGACGCGTCCTTGAGGGGCTTGGCCGTGGACGCGCCATTGTGGAGCTTGGCCGCGGAAAAGTCCTTGTGGTCCTTGGTCATGGACTTGGGCCACTCGGACAAGTTGCAGATCTTGAGCTCGAGCTCGGTCACGCGGAGCGCGTGGTCCGCCACGTGGCGCCGCCACTCGAGCGTCAACTCGGCCGACAGCGTGACGTCCTTGCGCATCTTGACGATGCGCTCGAGGTAGTGGCTGCCCATGAAGACCTCGTCCCACAACTTGGCCAAGACAAGCTCCTCGATGTCGCCGGCCGGGGCCGCCAGGGCCGACGGGGGCGCGCCCTTGGCGTTGAGGAACCGCTTGGCGAAGTGCGCCGCGTAGTGCGCCTCGAACGCGTACTTGTCCTCGACCAACTTCAAGAACGTCACAACCTTGTGGAAGAAGGCCTCGGTCTCGTCGATGGCGACCGTGTCGTCCGTGGCGGACTTCTTGGACGTCGAGGGCTTGGAGAACTGCTTGATGTAGTGGTCGATGTAGACGGACAAAAGCTCGGGCGCGTTCAAGGCGGGCCCTGCGGGGCTGGTCTTGGGCCTGCCGGCGGGCCGGTTGAGGAACTGCTTGACGGCCGCGAGCACGGTGAACTCCACGGAGGCGTCGCCGCCGAACGCGTCCTGCACGAGCTGCCCGGCGAGCCGCTGGAACTCCAACACGGTGTCGATCCACGCGACCACAAAGGCCGTCAGGCCGTAGGACACGGCGGGAGTTTTCGGGGCGGCCGTTTTTGAGCCGGCCGTTTTCAGGCCCGCCATTTTCAGCCTCGCCGTTTCCAGCCCCGCCGTTTCCAGCCCCGCCGTTTCCAGCCCCGCCGTTTCCAGCCCCGCCGTTTCCGACCCCGCGGCCGCGAGCGCCGCCTGCTGCTGCAAGTGGCGGAGCACGGCCTCCGCGAGCCGCCCGCCCTGGGCCACGAGGAGCTCGCGCACGCGCGCCTTCAAGCGCTTGCGCTCCGGGTCCACGCGGCCCTCCAAGTCGTAGAGCATGCGCAACTCGGCGGTGTGGCCGCGGGCGTCCCCCGGCGGCGGCGGCGCGGCGAGCCTGGCCACGGCGCACGCAAACACGGGCTCGAGCCAGCAGCGCAAGCCCAGCGCCCCGGCCGGCGCGTCCATCACGTGCGCCATGCGGCCGCGGATGAGGATGTTGTCCATGAGCACCACGGTTTTCGGCGCGGTCTCCGTGCGGAAAAGCGCGCCGGCGCCGGAGCCGGCCAAGGCCCGCAAGCGTTCCTCCTCGTCGTGCACGAGGCGGTGCACGCGGTGCAAGTACGCGGAGCCCAGGCGGGCGGCCATGGCGTCGTCGGCCGCTGCGGAAAAGTACGCCTCGGTCTGCACAAGCCACTCGTGCTCGAACACGTCGCGGTAGAGGTCGGGCCGCGGGCCGCCGGGCAGGCCGGGCGCGGCCGGGGCGCCGCGCCGCTCCGACACGGTCTCGAGCATGGCGATCATTTGCACCACGTACAGCCGCATGCAGAGCGCCTGGCCGCGCAGGCGGGCCATCTCGTGCGTGAGCACGTGCACCAAGCGGCGCGCCACGGCCATGTCGTCGGCGCCGAGGAAGTGCGTGGCGAAAAGAGCCACGCCCAAGTCGCCCACCAAGGGCCGCCTGCTCTCCTTGACGTACACGCGGTTCAAGTACATCAACACGTCGCCGAGGAACTTCATCAGCTGCACGTGCCGCGCCCACTCGTGGCACAAGCGTTTCAAAAAGTCGCCGCCGGCGTCCGTGAGCAGCGAGGCCAGGAGCTCGAGCACGCGCTGGCGCCGTTGTTGGAGATGCTGCGTCACGAGACCGGCCACGTCGTCGTAGAGCCGCGCGCCGTGTTTGTGGAGCACCACGGTATACGCGATGCGGTAGAGCTGCTCGTACAGGAGGCTCAGCACGTTTCTGTTCTGGATGTGCACAATGGCACTGGCAAGCGTGGCCCACAGGGCCGTATAGTCGAAGGGCGCTTTGGCGCCGATGTCGGGCGCGGCGCCGGGCTTGCGGGGCGGGCGGATCTTCAGCCGCCGGCCGCCTGCAGGAATCATCCGGGTCACGTGTGCGTGTCTCGGTGCCGCTGGCGAGGGGTGTCCTAGAAAGCACGGCCAGAAATGGGGAGTTGGAAGGGGACGTTTTGCAGACGAAGGCGCTGTTGCAAGAAAGGCTGGGGGCGCGCGGCGCGCACCCGTGCCTCCGGGAGGGCGCCTGTGTGCAGGCCGGGCCCGGCTGGTATCTTCGGTACCAGATTTCCAATTCAAGGATATGCGGTATTTAGGAGCCTTGGAGTACTATTCTCGGAAACTCCTCAGGATCCTCAGGAGAAAAAGATGAAAAAATAAGGGAAAAAACTCTTGTGCACGGAAATTGGTGCCACGTGAGGAATGACTACATGGCGGATGCCAGGTATCTCCGCAGACGTCGCTGCGAATCACCCTGGTGCTTCTTAGTGGGTTTTAGTATCGTTTTTAGGATCTATTGTAGGATCTGTTTTAATATCTTTTTTAGTATCTTTTTAGTATCTTTTTAGTATCTTTTTAGTATCTTCTTAGGTATCTGTTTCTTTCTCTATATCAGCTGTCTGTATCTAGTTTTGTTCTAACTTGTATTATGTTCCCTTTTTTTTATTCTACTCCCTCTTCTATTCTATTTTCTATTCTGTTCACTCTTTCTATATTCTCAATCTATTGACTCCTTCTGTTTTCTCTTTATTTCCAAAGTCTATTTTCTGTTCTGTTTTCTATTCTGTTTCCATATTCTCTTCTGATTCTCTGCTTCTCTTTTCTGTTTCTGCTCTCTCTTTCTCTTTTCTGTTTCCATTTTTTGTTTCCATTCTCTCTGTCTCTCTTCTGTTGCTACTATCTGTTTCTATATTCCCTTTCTATTTTCTATTCTATTTTCTATTCTGCTTTCGATTCTGTTTTCTTCCTTGGGATGGACCTATTTTCTTAGTTCTAATAGTACCATTATCCATTAGTTCTGTCATTCTAATACACTTGTATAATGAACTTATAGACAGTATATTAGGATTAATCATATTATTTTTGAGTACAGCTATATCCTGCTTTATTTACTATTATCTTTTCTCTTCCTATATTCTGTTTCTATTGACTCTTTCTGTTTTCTCTTTCTATTTCCTTATTCTGTTCTCTCTTTTTCTTTTTATTTCCTTTTTCTGTTCTCTCTTTTTCTTTTCTGTCTCCATTTCTATTCTGTTTTCTCTTCTTCTTTTCTCTATCCACTTTTTCTTTCACTATTCTGTTTCTATTTCCTTTCCTGTTTTCTCATTCAATCTTCTCATTCTATACTCTCTTTCCATTTTCTGCTTCTATTTTCTTTTCTGTTTTCTATTCTATTTCCCATTTCTATTTTTTGTTTCTATTTTCCATTCCTATATTCTCTTCCTTCTTTCTGTTTCTATTCTCTCCTTCTCTTTTCTGTTTCCACTTTCTCCTTCTATAGTCCCTTTCTATATTCTCTTTCTATTTTCTTTACTATTTTCCTTTCTGTTGTCTGAGTCTATCTTCTGATTCAACTCTCTATTCTGTGTTCTCTTTCTATTTTCTACTCTAATTTCTATCATCTTTTCTCTTTTATGTTCTACTCTGTTTCTGTTATCCTTTCTCTTTCAATATTCTTTTTCAATCTTAAACTGTTCTCTATTCTATTCTATTTCCTATTTCATTTTCTTTTTTATTTTCTATTTCTATTTTCTGTTGTTATTTTCTGTCATCTGTTTGTATTACTTGTTTTTGTATTCTGTATCTATTTTCAATTCTATTTTCTGTTGCTATTCTTCTTGCTATTTTATGTTTCTATTTCCTATTTTCTATTTTATTCTATCCTTTTCTATTTTTTATCATATATTCTACTCTATTCTCTTTACTATTTTCCATTCTGTTGTCTGATTCTACTTTATTCTGTTTCCTCTTTTTATTTTCTTCTCTCTTTTCTATCATTTTTTCTCTTTCAATATTCTCTTTCTATATTCTCTTTCTATATTCTCTTTCTATTTTCTGATTTATTCTCCATTCCTTTTCCATTTCTCTTCTTATGATCTCCTTCTTTTTCTATTCTACTCTATTTCCTATTCTATTTCCTATTCTATTTCCTATTTCATCCCCTATTTTATTTTTCATTTCTATCTTCTGTTGGTATTTTCTGTTATCTGTTTTTAGTATCTGTTTCGTTCTCGTTTTTGTTTTCTGTATCTAATTTCTGTTGTATTCTCTACCCTATTTTATTTTATTTTTTTATTCTATTTTCTATTATATGTTTTATTCATTTTTCTGATTCTATTTTCTCTTTTTCTCTTTTGTTATATTTTGTGTTTCCATTTCAATTGTGTCTTCTCTTCCTATTTTCTTCTCTGTTTTCTATTTTCTTTTCTTTTTTTATTGACTCTCTCTGTTTTCTCTTCCTATTTCCTTTTTTTCCATTTTGGTTCCTATTATATTCTATTTCCTGTGTCTATTTTCTGTTCTATTTCTTTTTTCCTTTCTTTTCTATTTTTTATTATTTTTTTATCTTTTCTATTTTCTATTCTATCCTATTCTCTTCCATATTCTCTTCTCTTCTATATTCTCCTTCTATATTCTGCTTCTATTTCTATTCTGTTTTGTCCTTCTATATTTTGCTTCTATTTTTATTCTGTTTTCTCTTTTCATTTTCTCTGTCTTTGTTCTGTTTCTATTTTCTTTCTACCGACTCGTTCTGTTTTTTTTTTTTCTCTTTTCTATTCTATTTTCTACTCTTTTTTTCATTTTCTGTCTCTAATTTCTATTATGTTTTCCCTCTAATTTTCTCTTTCTACTTCTATGGATATATAGCTATCCTTTATTTGTGATCTGCATAAGGGTTGTTCCTAGCTTCATTGTATCTCGACTATTGTCATTTAATCGGGGTGGCACACACTGGCGACAACTACCCTCACGCAGTACTACCCTGCTCTAGTGTTGTCATGGTTAATCTCTTTATCTTACTTCTATATATTACTACATACTTCAGACCATGTCACTACCACATTTATTTATACACCTTTATTTTTCTCTCAAGGTAGCGTTATACAATCAAGTTATTGGCGCTGGGCGCTCGTGGTAGAATCATTGTTTAATATTCTACTAGTCGTTGTACATCATAGATCTCTTACAACTCCGGGCTCATCCGAGACTTCATAATACCAATCTTTACTTCGCTGATTATCTTTAACTCTCTTAATATAACCCTGATTATTCTGATCATCAACATTTGTTTTTGAGGAGTACTTTTTCCTACTCGCCCAATTTTGATCTTCCTCAAAAGAGATTAGTTTGCGTATTTGTTTTTTGTTTCAAATTACAGAATTGGAAAACAACTGAGAATATAGATTCAATTACTGCAAAGATAAAAACATAATCTTCACTTTCCTGCGTGAATTTTCCACTTTATTCTTGGTATCTGCAAACCCTGTAGGTCGATTTGGAACATAGCTATAACATTTTTTACCAATGTTTGTGATAGCAATAGACTGCTCTTATCCCAAAGGTCATGCCTCATGCAAACCAAGAGTGTGAGAAAGCCGAACAACCTTTTTGCACTTAACAACACGAGCTTTCCAGTCCACTAATCAGAACACGAGTCTGTCATTCAACAAATCTGCACTACGAGAATACAGGTTGATGTTCGTGCCGTGTTATTCCAGATAGCTCAATGTCCAGTCGATTTTTTTTTCTTGGCGACTCAAGAAATGCTTTTCTCTCTTTTCAGCGTGCTTTCTACTTTCCCACACGAGCGAGCTCGCCATCGGCTTCTTGCCACTATTTGGTTTTAGTTGATAACCCACCCTCTCTAACCTGCGTCAAGTGACCCAATTTTTTGGTGGTTCAAAAACGATATACACCCGATTTACTTAGGCAACCACCCTCCGCCGTGTCCGCACATACTGAGAATGCTTGGACTCCCTGAAGCCACAAATTACAGTTGCCGGTTTCTATCATAAGCTTTCGCCGCTTCACTTGCGTTTTCTAGTTCCTAGTGGTCTTTCGTTTTTGCTTTACAGTATAAGAAAGCATGCGTATGGGAATAGCATGCTGCCTCCAGAACCGGCTCCATTCGGCAATAATTGAAGCAATCGGCACCACAAAACTGGCGGGGCCCATGTGTTCTTTTTCTTGTCTAGCACCAGGATTGAAGCGGCTTCCAAACAATGATACAACTGGCGGACTCACAAGTAAACACACCCGCCTGACTTCTCTCCTATGGTCGAATATGGGCTATACCGGCCAAGAAGGAGCGACACGCGCGTGTGCCCTAAACTGACCCAGGGCTCAACGAAGACTGCCTAAAACACTGAACAATTTCAAAGCCAAAACCAGGATTCTGACCGTGGACCTTAGGCAGTCCCTCAGACTAAGAGGTGGAAACACTCTTGGAAAGCCTTGTATAAGGCAGAATGGATAAAGCGATATGATCTTTCATCCATCCATCACTTCAATTACGGATCATATGTTCCTCGCAAGACCCTCCCGAGCGACACATGGGATTTTCAATGTCATCTATACACAAAACAAATCCACAACATCGGAGATGCCACAGACGCTTTCCTAAGCCATATCTACAACAACTGCGAAGCATCCAAATACTGGTGGCAAGAGCTAAAATTTTCCAAGCCCATGAGCTTGAACTCAATGTTGGCCCCAAGCAACAACTCTTTGGACAACTTAACTAAATTAAATTGGTTCGTCACCACGATTTTCAAGCTACACCAGAAGGCGTGGCGAGTCGCAGGAAGTGGGCTCCTTAAGCCCACTACAACCATCTAAGTTGAAGCGGCTACTACAGGAGACCTATTCCAGGAGTCGATGACGTAATATCCAATACGAAAACAGATACGGGCCCAGAGGGCCTTCCAGGCCGTGGCTATCGGAAGGGGACAGGCCTAGTTTCGACACTTGGTACGTAGCTGGGAAATGCTGAAAAGTTTTTATATATATTATTTATATAGTTTTGCCCCTCTAATCAAATTTTTCTACCAAAAAAAAAAACAGGCCCGGCCACCGTTGGAAGTGCAGTCACGTGGACCACAGATATGGCGTCGTCTCATCTTCATGCGTGCGTCGTAAAAAGGAAAATGTGGACAAGAGGAAAAGCAAACAAGACCAGCACATGGGAGCCATCATATCAAAACGCCCCTCTGAGACCCCGCCATGTTCACTAGATCCACCTTCTTCACTATATTCATCTTCTTCACTAGATATTAAGTATATTATATGTATTAACATTATGATCTAAAGAGATAGTAGCGGAAAATACATAATTGAAAGGTATGTGAAATCCTAATATTTAGAAATGGATTGGGTCGTCTAGGCCTAGCTTTAGTAGTTGTGTTAAGTTCAACGAGAGTGACAAAATAAGTCAAGCTATAACTAAGTCATCGAGTATTAAAAAATGAAAACCAATTAACTACAAAGGATAGAAATGAAGTTTTATATTATTCAACCACAAACAGGATCAATATCGAAATAAAAGAGGGCGGCTCAACTTATAGCCTACTATACCTTACTATAAATCTTACTATAAATTATACCTAATATAACAATATGTATAACTTAACCGAATAAATATTCATAATGTTATAATACCCCCGGCATATTCAGAATTTAAACTAACTTTTTCTCATGTAATACAGAAATACCAATTGTTTCAACACTTTTATTTATCTTTTTCAATTAGTCGTACTTAATATATTCCCCGGATGGGGATATATTACCCTGGGTATCCGGCACTTTGCGCCGTCTTTTTAAATTCGATTTAATATGTTTTGACATTTTCTCATCATATAACAGTTGTATTCTTAATATCTCAAGAATATTATTAGGAGTATAAATAACGCCGAGATTCTCGCGTGTTTGCCGTAAAACATAGTAGACAATCTTCATGGATGTATCTATGCATACGAGAAGAAATTTTTTACGTTAGGGGAAAATTTAAGTGATAGACTGGTTGTTTTAAGCGGAATATAACAGCAACCAAACGCAAAAATCCTCTCCACTAGAGTCACCTTCACCAGATCCATCTTCTTACCAGATTCAACTTCTTCACTGGATTTACTTCCTTCACTAGATTCATCTTTGTCAGCGTATTGTGGTAAATGTTATTGTCAAAGAATTAAAGGAGAGATCTCGAAGAATTCAAGGACTGGAGCACAGAGTTCATCAAAGAGGTGTTTTTCATTGCTTAAACCACCTATTTTGCCGTCGAATTTATAAGCAAGCCGTGATCTCTGGTCGACCTCTGTTGTCGAGCCAGACCAGGAAGCCATTTGCGGTTCATCAATGCTGTTTTGTAGTCGGCCAGTAGCGAAAGCAATCGTTTTGAGAGCAGCAATGATTTTTTGGGTTGGAATGAAATGGCACTGATGACAACAACGAGAAGAGCAGTGCCGAATCCAAGATACTTGTGGTTGTTTGAGAGTGATTTTGCGAACGTAGAGAGTCAAGCAACGTGTATGGAATGCTGGCGAAGATGCAAATATATAAAAGCAGTAGAATCACCAAGGTCAACAAAAGGAAGTACATGCAGCGAGGTCCCGGAGACTATGGTGGATCACTACCCAGACGGGAATGATACAATTTAGAGCAGAAAAGTATCTTTTCTCTCGTCAGCGTATGTGGAAGAAGCGGACTTTCTCAATACCTTATTGTTTGAGTATCTTTCACAAAAGCGTGATCTTAAGTCTAAGATAATATCTCAGACTTTGTTTGAGCTGTGCAGTGAAGTCACTGAGAACAAAATGTATCTCGTGTGCGTAAGAATATGAGTTCCAGAAACAGCGATGTTGTTGGCTCTGAGAAGATGATTCACCTTCTTCACTAGATTCATCTTCTCTAGATTCATCTTCACTAGATCCATCTTCACTAGATTCACCTTCACTAGATTCATCTCCTTCACTAGATCTTCTTCACTAGATTTACCTTATAATCTTATTTCAGAATTTTAAACATACTGGGGGTGATTTATTCCCCAGAGACACATCTCTTCTGGGGGTAACTAATTTGGTAATTTAAATATAAACATATCCTCTACTGTCACTATACATTAAATTTCATACTCAAGAGTTTCTCCTTCATCCGATACAAGATCGAATATTCATATATTCAATATCATTGTACTCCAACTCCTTTTATAGTCATAGCAGGTGTTAAAACTTCATCACATAAATATAATAATATCAAAAGCTTTTGACAATAATATGATAGCAGGAAATCATGTTCGTCACCTCTTTCACTAGATTTACCTGCTTCACCAGATTCATCTTCTTCACTAAATTCATCTTATAACCATGGGTCAGAATTTTAACATACTGGGTGTCATTTATTACCCGGAGACAAACCGCTTCTGGGGACAATTTATTTGGCAAGTTATTTATAAACATATCTTCTATTATCACTACATAAATTTGAATTGATAGTTTCTCCTTCACCAGAGACAGAATCTGAATATTCATATTTCCAACATCATTGTACCAACTACTTTTATAGCCATAGCAGGTGTTGGAGCTTTATAACATAAATAGAAGAATATGAAAAGCCATCAACAATGATATAGTACTACAAAACGCTAACAATAATAGAATAATATGAAAAGCTATTAATAATATAATAACACGAAAAGCTATCAATATAATAATACAAAAAGCCATCAACATATAATAACCCAAAAAGCCATCAACATATAATAGAATAACACAAAAAGCCATGAAAATACAATAACACGAGAAGCTATCAATAGAATAATACAAAAAACTAACTATATTAGAATAACATAAACAGTCATCAATATAATAACACGAAAAGTCATCAACACATAATAAAACAAAAAGCTAACAATAATATAATGACATGACAAGCCAACAATCATATAATAAAGCCATCAATAATATAGTATCATGAAAAGCTATCAATAATACAATAAAGCTATTAATAATACAAAAACATGAAAAGCTATCAATAATATAATTAAGCTATCAACATATAGTAACACAAAAAGCCATCAACATATAATTACACGAAAAGCCATCAACATGCAATAGCACAAAAAGCCATCAACATATAATAATACAAAAAGCTAACAATGATAGAATAATATTAAAAAATAACAATAGTATAAGAACACGAAGAGCTATCAATAACAGAATAATACAAAACGCTATCAATAATATGATAATACGAAAATCTAATAACAATAGAATAATATGAAAAGATATCAATATAATTCACGAAAGCCATCAAAAATAGAAAAAAGCTAACAATATAACAATATGAAAAGCTATCAACAATAACATAATGATATGAAAAGCTATCAATATTATAATATAATAGGCTATCAACAATATGATAAAGCAATCAATAATATAATACAAAACGCTTACAATAATACAATAATACGAAAAGCCATCAACATACAATAACACGAAAAGCCATCAACATACAATAACACATAAAGCTATCAACATATAATAAACGAAAAGCTAACAGTATTAGAATAGCATGAAAAGCTATCAATATAATGATACAAAAAACTAACAATAATACAATAACACATAAAGCCATCAACATATAATAACACGAAAAGCTATCAACATATAATAACACGAAAAGCTATCAACATATAATAACACGAAAAGCTATCAACATATAATAATACAAAAAGCCATCAACATACAATAACGCGAAAAGCCATCAACATATAACAATACGAAAAGCCATCAACATATAACAATACGAAAAGCTATCAACATATAACAATACGAAAAGCCATCAACATATAACAATACGAAAAGCCGTCAATAATACTATATTACTTAAAGCTAATAATAATACAATACGAAAAGCCGTCAATAATATAATAACATGAAAAGCCAACAATAATAGAATAATATGAAAACCAATCAACAATAATAGAATAATATGAAAAGCCAGTAAAAAATATGATAATATGAATAGATAATAATAATGCAATACTAAAAGCTGATATTAATGCAATACTAAAAGCTATCAATAATATAATAATACGAAAAGCTCACAATAATAGAATGATGTGAAAAACCATCAGCATAGAATAAAAAAGTATAATACAAAAGCTAACAACAATACTACACAATGAAAAGCTAACAATAACATAATGACATGAAAAGCTGTCAACAATATAATAAAGCTAGCAATAATATAATAACATGACGAGCCATCAATAATATAATAAGGCTACCAATAATATACTAACATGAAAAGCTATCAATAATAAAATAAGGCCACCAATAACATAATAACACGAAAAGCCATCAACAATATAACAAAGCCACCAACATACAACAACTCATAGCCATCAACAATACAAGAGCAGGACACTGTTCATCACCGTCACGGGAGTCATCTCGCGCACCCGGCACGCCCCCGGGTGGTCCTGCATGTGGCCGCGGCGGAACCGGCCGCGCGGCACCGTGACGAATCCCGCGCACGTGATTGGCCGCGTGCGCCCGCGCCGGAACCGCGCCGGAACCGGGACGCGCCATGTCCGGCGTCTTCCAGCTTAAATACATGCCGCCGCCACAAACCCAACCAAAAACTCCACCAAAAACACCACAAAAACACCACAAAACACCACAAAACACCACAAAACCACAACCAAAACACAACCAAAACACAACCAAAACACAACCAAAACACAACCAAAAACGCACCCGCCCCATGTCCTCCACACAGCCCAGAACCTTGTACGACAAGGTGTTCGAGGACCACGTCGTCCACAGGGACGAGTCCGGGTCGCATCTCATCTACATCGACCGCCACTTGGTGCATGAGGTCACGTCCCCCCAGGCGTTCGAGGGCTTGAAAACCGCCGGGCGCGCCGTGAGAAGACCGGATTGCACCTTGGCCACCGTGGACCACAACATCCCCACGGAGTCGCGTGCCGAGTTCAAAAACGTCGAGACGTTCGTCGACCAGGAGGACTCCCGGTTGCAGGTCATGACCTTGGAGCAGAACGTCCAGGACTTTGGCGTCACGTACTTCGGCATGGCCGACGCCAGGCAGGGCATCGTGCACGTGATCGGCCCCGAGCAGGGCTTCACCTTGCCCGGCACCACCGTGGTCTGTGGCGACTCGCACACGTCCACGCATGGCGCGTTTGGCTCGTTGGCTTTCGGCATCGGCACGTCCGAGGTCGAGCACGTGTTGGCCACGCAGACCGTCATCCAGACCAAGTCCCAGAACATGCGCTTGTACTTTGCCGGCGCGTTGGCCGCGGGCGTCACGTCCAAGGACTTGGTGTTGCATGCCATCGGCGTGATCGGCACGGCGGGCGGCACCGGCTGTGTCATTGAGTTTGCCGGGCCGGCCATCGAGGCCTTGTCCATGGAGGCGCGCATGTCCATCTGCAACATGGCCATCGAGGCCGGCGCCCGTGCAGGCATGATCCGCCCGGACGAGGTCACCTTCAACTACATCAAGGGCCGGCCGTTGGCGCCCGCGGGCGCCCAGTGGGACAAGGCCGTGCGGTACTGGCAGACGCTCTACTCGGACGAGGGCGCGCGGTTCGATTACGACATCCGCATCAACGCCGCGGACATCGTGCCCACCGTCACGTGGGGGAACTCGCCGCAGGACGCGTTGCCCATCACCGCCCGTGTGCCGGACCCGGCCCAGGTTGCCGACCCCATCAGAAAGGCGGGCATGGAGCGTGCGCTCCAGTACCAGGGCTTGGCGCCCAACACGCCGTTGCAGGACATCGCCATCGACAAGGCGTTCATCGGCTCGTGCACCAACTCGCGCATCGAGGACTTGCGGGCCGCGGCGCGCGTCGCCAAAGGCCACCGCAAGGCGGACAGTGTCAAGTTGGTGTTGGTCGTGCCGGGCCTGGGCTTGGTCAAGCGGCAGGCCGAGGCCGAGGGCTTGCACCGGGTCTTCGAGAACGCCGGCTTCTCGTGGCGCGAGGCCGGCTGCTCCATGTGCTTGGGCATGAATCCCGACATCTTGGACCCCGAGGAGAGGTGCGCGTCCACGTCCAACCGCAACTTCGAGGGCCGCCAGGGCGCGCGTTCCAGAACGCACTTGATGTCGCCGGCCATGGCCGCCGCGGCCGCGATCAAGGGCCATTTCGTCGACATCCGGGACTGGCAGTACCACACCAGCGACGAGCCCGCCGTGCACATCGAGCTGGGCGAGGACCAGGAGTTGCAGGACGCCGTGTACGAGCACGAGAAGCAGCCCTTGGAGTGCTCCGAAGCGCTCGCGGACGACCGCTTGAAGGATATCCCACAGGACCTGACGACGCAGCAAACGTCCGGCCCGGCCGGCCCGCAAAGCGCCGGCATGGACAAGTTCGGCGTGTTGACCGGCATCACCGCGCCGTTGGACAAGAGCAACGTCGACACGGACGCCATCATCCCCAAGCAGTTCTTGAAGACCATCAAGCGAACCGGCTTGAAGAAGGGCTTGTTCTATGAGTTGCGTTTCGAGAAGGACGCGGCCGGCAAGGACGTCGAGACGGACTTTGCGTTGAATGTCGAGCCGTACAGGAACGCCGAGATCTTGTTGGTCACTGGTGACAACTTCGGCTGTGGCTCGTCGCGTGAGCACGCGCCCTGGGCGCTCAAGGACTTCGGCATCAAGTCCATGATCGCGCCCTCGTTCGGCGACATCTTCTACAACAACTCGTTCAAGAACGGCTTGTTGCCCATCAGACTCCCGCAGGAGGTCATCTTGTCGAAGTTGTACCCCGTTGCTGCTGCCGGGAAGAAGCTCACGATCGACTTGCCCACCCAGCAGATCCGCGCCGCCGAGTCCGACGAGGTCTTGGTCGACCACTTCGAGGTCGAGCCGTTCAGAAAGCACTGCTTGTTGAACGGCTTGGACGACATCGGCTTGACGCTCCAGAAGGAGGAGTACATCCAGAGGTTCGAGGCCAGGAGGAAAGACGTGTTTTCCTTCTTGGAGGGCGGCTCCAAGCTCGTCAAGCCCATCAAGGGCGCCAAGAAATCCAAGTACGGGCTCAAGACACAGGAGTGGTGAGCCTGCCCTTGTTCTGCGCCGATATGGTATGTATAATGAGATGTTGTTCACGAATAAGACCCTGCTTTTTCTGCGCCGATATAGTATGTATAATGAGATGTTGTTCACGAATAAGACCCTGCTTTTTCTGCGCCGATATAGAATGTATCATGAGATGTTGTTCACGAATAAGACCCTGCATTTTCTGCCATCCGAGCGCCGCTTCCCAACACTCGTGTTTGGCGTTCTGCACGTTCGAAATCCCGGCCCAAAAGATGCTTCGCTTACTGCCATAATGGAGCTGTGTGGATGGCTTCCCCAATGGTCCTCAGAAGCGACCACCCGCTTGGGCACAAAGCCAGCACATACTGGGTTCAAGCCCCATTTCTTGACTGTGAATGGACTTCCCATTGGAGCGGCCTGATAGCGGCTTGGGAACTCGACTGGGCTGACCTCAAAATTTAAGCAATATGTCCTGGTTTCACTAGTCCAAACTATACGCTCGACAGAGAAATGGCCGCCATTTTCAAATTACTAACTGCTTAATGGGCATAGGACAAAGGTTTTAACAGTTAATATTTTAGACGATGATATCTGGTACACCTATCGCTCATTTATAACTTCAAATTCGGATCTGATGTCCACCGCCGGGCCCTATCACGAAAGACATCAGGTTCTCAGTATCATCTTTGCACACACCATATCCTTAACGGAGAATCCACGAAAGCTTTCCTTATCTATCTCTACAACAACTTTAAATCATCGAATTACTCTTGGCAAGTGCTGAAATATACCAAGCTCATACCTTCAAACGAGATATTGGCTCTGGCCGACTACTGTCTGAAGGAAAATAAATAGGCTCGTCTTCACGATAATCAACGCATACATTCGAAGACGTGGCGAGTCGCAAAGCGTATGCCCATTTAATTCTCTTGGTTCTTCTAGATTGACTTAATTACACGGCTACTGCAGGCAGCTCATCCTATTCCGTCGTAACGGAGAGTTCAAGACGTGAAAAATACGTGCCATGAGGATTGTCCTTTTCGTAATAAACGGAGGGGTACGCTTTTAGACACTAAGCATGTAATTGGGACTGTTTGAATATTCTTTCTAGATCTTTCATTAGTTCTGCTCCTCTCATCAAATAAATCTTGAAAAACGGTAATGAAAAGAGCACTCTGTCGGAATAGTCAATGGTGGAGATGGTGTGATTTATTGTGGTTGCGACTATAGCAAGGTTAGGTAAACTCAGGAGGGAGAAGCCTATTTTCTCAGATATAATACAGGTCTGAAGAGACGACACTTTTGTGGGGTGATTATGAATCCTGGTAAACATTTTCTTTTCATTCTCATTTTGAAATCTTGATGATTGCTTAAATCCCAAACCGCCGTTACTCGAAATCTCTGTCTTATGCAATTCTCGGGAAAAAATGCAATTTCAGTTTTAGAAAACATGTGGTAATGGTGTTAGCCTACTTCA